TTTGTAAGCCTCAATGGGGCCCTAAGCAAAATGTAATTTTGGGGCCCTCTATTTCTGCCAATAATATTGATTGTTGATCATTCGCACACCTTTACAAATCTTTTTGATTAACATTCCATGATATGCAAACATATCTTTATCTTGGCATTTTTTCACTTCTTGCTCTTTCTTTTCTCTGCTCCTGAAGGAGCTTTGACATATCGGCAGTAAGAATCATAGGCCTACATCAGCAGCAGCACTAAAATATTTTTACTTTATTTTGTTTTTACAATAATATATATTTGATCATACAGAGAGCATCACTCATACATGCAATATATATATATATATATATATATATATATATATATATATTTTTTTTTTTTTTCCCCAGATTTCTCTTGGGGGGCCCCCTACTGGCCGCTGGGCCCTAAGCAGGCGCTTAGTTCACTAATGCCTCTGATGTCAGATATTAAGAGGTTCAATATTTTTCCTACACTGTTTTCTCTAAAAGACAGGCAGAGCAATTAATCAGATGGCCATGGATTAGGCTGATTGGAATATTCAATCAATCAGAAATAGTCGCATCAAAGTGACAACATCTTAAATTTTAAAGGGATATTCCGGCGTAAATTTAAGTTATGGTTAAACGCACCATAACATCGAGTTAGACACCCCCTCCAGAGATGAATGTTGCCAACTGCTTGCTTCTCTAGTTATACCAACTTCAGCAATGACCACACTATAGCAATACACAGCAGTCTACGTCTCCACGCGCAAACCTTAACCAAAAAGCCACTCTATTGCCACAAATAACGCTCAGAACAGCACCTAGCTTCATCAACAGGACATATAGGGTCCCAGCCATAGCACTAGCCACCAAACATCTTTTTAGCTTTGCCTGATTTCTTTAGCAAAGAGACGAAACACAACTCACCCACTCTCCTCCAGCAGCCGCTTGTTTGTGGGGGAGCCCCAACTCGAAAAATGGTCCAGTGAACTGCACTACATTACTGCAAACCACCTCTCATCGTCATGAATTCCACTATTCTTTCTTTTTTTTTCTACTATTACTTCTTTGAAAAAGCTGCAGAATTATTTTTGTTCTGCATTGTTTCTACATTTTTTTTAAATAACCTCTGCAAACATGAACCTGTGGAGGAGTGATGAGTTTGGCTTGGAGTCATGAGCAGAACGCACAGGAGTCTGGGTCTGTCTTTCTGGTCTGAGCTAAAGCTGACGGGATCGGTATGGGTTCACTACACTTATTTGACTAACATCTCACCTTTTCACACCCAACAATAAACTCACAGGACAGTGTGAAAAAAAGAAAAAGAAGAAAGACAGATAAACCAAGGTGACAAACAAAAAAAAATGAAGACAGCAAAAATCAAAAGACAGATTTTTGAGGAGAATTCTTTAAGCTGGCAAGGCTGACATGTATCAAGCATTTTAACACAGCAACAAACACACTTGCAAACAGTGCAGTACGTGACAGTAATGAACTGTACTAGCATTCATTATCCAGTGCTTAATAAAAATGCAACAAATACAAAAACTCACCTGCTATCTGTGTCCAAACCCACAAAATCCTTCTTCTCAAAGGGAACACAGAGCAGAGGGATCTTGTCCCCCGACTTGTCTGTTGCTCGGTCAAGCCGTTTGGACTCCAGGACAATAAAAATCGACTCCACAAAGTCCTCCACTCTCTTCTCGACATCGGAGCAGTCTTCAAAACTGGAATAGAAGGCTACATCTGTGCGCTGCTGCTCTGCAATCTCTCCCTGCAGCCCAAACACCAGCAATCGTGAGTCATACAGTGTGGAGCTGTACACCTCTTTCTGGCCGTGGAAGCGCTCAGCAGTTTGGGGCCACTCTTTGGCTGTGTTACAGGTGGTGATGGAGATGAGACCCACCACCTTGCGATGTGTCTGGAAGTCTCCCCACTCATTGTTTTCAGGCAGGTAATGGTGGCGGTAGCGGATGTAGAGCAGGCGCTGTGAGTCTCTGATGCTCACCTGGCTGACACTGGCGATACGTTTGTAGATCTTGAAGAACTGATCCTCGGGCACGATGCCAACCGGCTGGACCACAACCAAAACTGTCTGGTGGTCCTCAGCACATTGCATGTAATCGGGGACACTCATCTTCACATGTGGCTTCAGAAGACAGAAAATAAAAGTTGTTTATAAAGATCATACTCCTAATGTAACTGGTTTTAGTAGACGGCATCACATTACTCCAATTTTAGCCTTCCTTCACTGGCTTCCTGTTAGATTGTATTGATTACTTTTAAAGCACTTAGAGGACTTGCTCCAAGCTACATTTCAGATCTTTTAATACAATATGAGCCAACTCGCAGCCTTAGATCCTCTGGCGAAGGCCTCCTGGTCGTTCCAAAATCAAGGCACAAAACCAAAGGTGATAGAGCTTTCTCCATCTGAGCTCCTCGACTTTGGAACGACCTGCCAGAGGAGATAAGGCGTGCAGAGAGAGTCACTTCTTTTAAGTCAAATTTAAAAATCACTTTTACAGACTTGCTTTTATGTGACGCCATCTTTTATCCTTTATCTGTCATCTCTTACCTTATTTTGGCTTTACTGTCTTTTTAGCTTTTGTTTTACTTGTACTCTTTTCTTAATTAACATTTTAGGCCTTTTATTGTTTTATCTATTGCTCATTTCTGTTGCTCTATTTTATCATTACTATCATAATCAGGATTACCTGTTATTATTTTTATTATCATTGTTGATATTGTCTTTTATTTTTGCTATCCTGTTTCTGCTTTCGACCCCCCTTTTAATTGCATTTTCTTTTTTCTTCACTATTTTATGTTTTTATTTTGGTCCTCATGGTCTCATTTTATGTTGCATGGTTCTTGTACTGTCTGGGTTCCTTATGACGTGAAAGTGGACTTCAATTCCATTTTAACTGAGCTTTTTGTTTTTTTCTATGACTATATGTCAAAGCACTTTGTAAATTTCTGTCTTTAAAAGTGCTATAAAAATAAATGTATTGTCATAAATATTATTACTACTTTTGGATTCATTGAGAAATAACAACATCACCTTTCACAACAAAGCAACTCCTCCAGCTGTTCAACATAAACACTCCTAGTAGAGGCTAAAAATGGCATCTGACAATGTTCAACAGTGGCTGAATGTGACATAACTAAGTATGAGAAAACGAATAATCCATTGTTTTGTTCTGTCATCGTTTTCTAAGTTTCTGTGATGCTTCCAGGAGGAATAATTTACGTTCAACTAAACAGTCATTTCAAAACACTTGTCTCAGCTAGCTTAGCCAGCTAAACTGTGAATTGTCTGCAAATGGTTGTTTAGCAAAATGAAAGCTGACCAAGTTAAATAGGAAATGGTTTATTTTGAATAATATTTAGATGTCTGATGTGCTTATGTCTTCATATAATAATGCAAACTTACGTTTTCTGTGCAGAATCCTGTCAAATCTCTCAGCTTCCTTCTTTCAGCCGTGCTGTGCAGCGTTAATCAATGGCAAAACTTCCGGTAGACCTTTTCAGAATAAAATCTCTGAGTCTATTTAAGTTTCTACCATGTATTTACCTAGATTTCGTCTAGGGTTACTGAACTTATTTTTCTGATTCGCTGGTAAAAATATTGATTTTCTAATAAGTAAGATTAATTCATGTCATATTCTCGAAATAAAACAGATCTTTGTGTTTTCGTTCCTTTCTAAAGAGTCTGACAGTGGGCATTTATAGTTTTATTCTTATATTTTATTGTTATGCACCGTGGTTCTGAGAGGACTGAAATTTCATCTGTGCTGTATGTTTAACATGTATAGCATATTTGACAATAAAGTTGATTTTGACTTTGAGGCTGATCACCTTACATAACGTGCTGCCAATGCATAGGCTAATAACTTGATGTAGGGCCTAGTACAGTGAATTTTTTGTGCTTTTTCAGCTCTGAGGATATTTTGGATATCATGATTATGAGAAAACACAGCAAATACAATATGTGGATTCATGTCTTTGTAAGGATATCATTCCTTTTTTGTGCAAAGCTAAGATTAAGGGATATGAGCCATTTTGACTGTTGTGAACAATATTTGTGATTCTTATCTCTTTATAAGTATGAAAAGCTGTTTTAACAGAATTTTGATAGAATCAAAGGATTGTGGCTAGGCATGTTTAGTTTTTCATTGACCTCAAGGACTTAACACATACACACATAACAGCAAAACCATGCAAACAAATACAGAGATGACAATTAAGAAAGATTAAACGCCCAACAAACTGTCAGTGGGACTTTCGAATAAGTCTGAGAGGCCCTGTAAACTTTTGTTATTTAAAAAAAATTAAGGACATTAATTCGTTGTCATGTGACTTTTATTTTATTTTGAAGCCAAATCTTTTCTTACCTACGTCACGTCCTTGTCTTTTTCTTCTTCTTCTTTTGGGGTTGGCGATGTCTGATATGCTACGCTAGCGCCATCTACCAACAAACAGAGTATTGTAATTCTACAATTTATGAATGTAACGGCCTGGAACAGTATGAATTACCAAGAGATATGCCTTTTTCCCCTTTTTTACAATATCATGTTAATCATAATCTACCAAACCATGTTTAGTAAGTAACTAATAAATCATAATTAATCACTTTAATGTTTTTAAATTCCCCCAGATAATATAAATTTAGAATAGGCAAGTGTATTATTCGATTTTGTATTTCATCACAACAAATATTAATTTTTAGAGTCTGTCTGAAAGGCTTAGTGAAAATAAAGGGCAGATTATTTCACCAACTTGCAAATGAAAAATGAGCCTGTTGCGGTTGAGTGAGTGAGTGGCCCACATCATCCTGCTAGATTCCTCACTGAAAGGAGGACCATGAGAAGAAAATTGCACGGATAGATGAAGTCATATCTAACATTTGTTCTGAGTTTCCAAGATACCAAAGTTTACCTTGTGGTGCTCCTTCAAGTCACACGTTGAACTTGTTCCACTGATAACCCAGAATAACACAAGATCCCAAGACAGGTTGATTCAACTCCGTTATTTTATTCACCCATAAATCACTTTTCACAATCTTCTTGGAAGACAACAGCATTTTATTCCCTATTTTCTTCTTTTTTTGGCCAAGGGGAATTGGTCCAAAAGCAAAGCAGGCGCTCAGAGAGAGACATGGAATGTCTTAAACATGGTTGATAGTGAATATACATCAATAACAGGCAAACATCTACAACCATCGACTTACAAAACAGTGCACAAACATTGTGTGTGAAGGCTGTCATTCCAAACTGTAACAATACAATTTTGAAAGCAGGGAAGGGATGATAAAGGTGGGATATCATACCATGTTGTTGTTCTTCATAATAAAAAAAAAAGATATGCAACCAAGGACATCAACAGCTTATTCAACTGAGATGTAACAACTAAACGAATGCACAAAAAAAGTAAAAGCACGATTAAGTGAAGCCTTCATTTTTCCCATGTGGTCAGCGGTTCCTAAGGCTAGTAAGACTGAATCAAACACACCGGCTTTGACCTTTATGTCAATTTTAAGAGGCAGGTTTCCTCTCTAAAGTCAAAAATAACTGCATCTTTACAGTCAGGACAATGACAGAAACTGCAACATAAAAACAACAGTGAAAGAAAAAGTGACATCGTTGAAAGCTGCAAGTTTCCCATTTTCTTCATGCTATTTTATGCAATCCATATGAAAAGTTAACTGCTAAATGTTTGGTGTATATTGTCTTGTCATTGGTGCTGAATTCAAAGCTTTCAAGTTATGCAGAATATAAGGAATGTACAGGATATCAGGAAAGTGCTCATACTCCAGAGAATATCCACCAGCAAATGGGACAGCTGTATATATTGGCAACAAATGTGACATTCAGAAATGTGTTCATCCTGCTCCACAAGAGGCTAAGATTAAGCAGCTAAGCAGAGAAATGTTCTCTTTCTGTTTTCTTTAGATGTACTTAAACCTTATTTATAACTCTGGTCCATCAGTGACCATTTTAATAAAAATAATCTCAGTATCGGTGAAAAGATGGGGCGGACTTTGATACTAAACACTAGAAGGGGGGTTTCTATGGAGCAGTATTGCCATAATATTATTAAGCGCATGACAAAACCTTACAGACATTGTGCCTTTTTGTTTGCTACAGGTTTCACTGATGTATCTATTATCTTATTTGTCAGACATGATCACAAATACGCTTTGTGGAGGGGTACCCTGTATAGTTTTTGACCACTAGCAGTGCTATACAGCGACGTTTCCTCAAGTAGGTCCCTGTTTTGTTTGTGTTATGTAAACAGCCAATTCACTCTCCTCCCATTGATAAAGAGGAAGGATCATTAAGAAAGAGAGAAAGAGGACTGCAACATATCAAGCAAGGATGTAAACTGCATGTTTTTGATATTTCGACAATCGTCTTGGAGAAGTAAAGAAGGGTAAAATCTAAGCAGGTTTGGTGGACCTCAAGGACTATCACTTCTGCTCAGAAAGACTTCTTGTAAACCTAAGATTTGTTCGTTCATTACAGTAATTACTTCCTTCAGTGTTTGCCCTGAATTATACTTTTTGACTTCTTAGTGACCGAAAAAGGCTACTTGTGAACGATGTTAATTGTGGCCTTTCTTTAAAATCCAATCGAAAATGACCGGTGGACCAAAATTACAGAGTTTTAAGCAAAGCAGATGTTTTGTTTTGTTTGTACTTCACTGATTTTAAAGGACATTACAGTCACTGCTACTCCTGTATATGTTTGCATCCATGTAAAGTTACAAAAAGTGTGCAGTCATATTCAACATGGGAACCTGAAGGCTGCAGACGGTAACACAAAGTAGTTAAGATTGAGTGATGATGACGGTGGTGGTGTGTTTAGTCTGCAGAGGATGAGGAAGATTCTGGGGTGAAAGCTGTCATTCCATGGATTAGTTTAATCTCAAGGTGATCATGTGGTCACAGCCAAGATTAGTTGACCTAATTACTGTGCAATTTAGACACCCCGTTAATTCCTAGTAGACTAATCTGTCAGACAGGGAAAGTGACTACAGAAATAAAAGGAAAAGAGACAAAAACACATAATAAAAGTGGAACAAATTAAGACTGATTTAGAGACTAATGATGCAGGAAGGGGAATGTGTGTCTTCTGATTGGTTTGATTGAGATATTTGGCATAATTCATTATGGCATTGAAAGTAGGTGTACACTGCCAGTGGTGCAGACAGAGAGACTGGTTAAGGGGCCTTCATGAGGGCACCAGGTGGGTGGGGTGGAAGTAAGGGGAATGTGGTTAGAATGGAGATTACATTTTTCCCTCCTCATGCCATTTTCAGGAATTGTTCCACTGTATCTGCTTCCACGGCCTCGGAAAACATTTCATAGTTCTGTGGAGAACAAAGAAAAAACAGTGGTCAGATAACAGTGAGAGTTTAAAGGGAGAACTTTGTAGCACAATGACTTGCAAAAAAAAAAAAAAAAAAAAAAAAAGCTACTGAATTTGGCAATTTGGCAATGTTTTCTGGCTCCCTGATGACCTTTTGTCAAGTACTGACACTCTTAAGGTCCTTACACACCAGGAGCGTTTTTTTCGTACAATTATTTCGGACGTCAATATTTTTTTTCGAACCTGTATCTTGCCAATACAAGCGTTCACATCAGCAGCATTTTCCCGTCCTGCGATACTGCGGCATTTATTTTTTCGTAACACGGTCGAATTTTCTCAAGTTTCGCATACTGTGTGTCCACCTCTGACCAATCAGTTTTCGTGTTGTTGCGATGTTGGATTCACCGGTATATCGAACATGGCCGACCGGCTGATTGTTTACGTGTCAGAGAACAGAGTGCTTTTTGATAAAAGACACAAATATTACAAAGAAAACGACCTGAAGGACAACTTGTGGAGAGTCAGCGTCAGATTTTTCATATGACGATGGTTTGTGTGCTAACGTCTTTGTTTTAACTATCATCTGTGATAAGTAACTTTAGCTTGTAAGCTAACCTGTTCAGATACAACATACCATATGTATTTTCACTGTCTCAAACCCAATCGCGTTGCTGTCACAGCACCATTAGGTCTCGGTTGTTACCTCACGTTTATGGATTATAGTTTAATGTGCTTATCTGGTACTGGCCCCGACTCAGTACATGCTATCATGACAGACAGTCATCTCAACACTAGTGTCTAATCAGAATCTAATCAAAAACAGTCAGTCTGCTGTTGTGTCTGTCTTCTCGCTACCACCCGGGACGCATCTTTTTTCCCCCCGCGCCTGACTATACACTTGATGTGTATAGTCAGGCGCATCAAAATTCGCCTCCGGATATTTCGTAATTTTGTGTCGAATATTTGCGTCGTTCCCGGTGTATAAGGACCTTTACATCTCTGTTTTGGGTCACAATAATTTCATATCTAACCTTTAAATGTTTAACACAAGGAGCACTTTGACAGTGACAAAAATACTTACTTTTGAGGCATTCATGCAATTTCATGCTATTTCGTTCTATTTTATCTCTGGCACATTGAGACCATTTTTTCAACAAAACTGCATATCAAAGCAATGTTATGCAAGAATATGTATATCATTATTATGTGCCTGCCAACATATTAAAATGAAAAGCAAGCCTGATTAAGTAATCTAGCACCTCCGCTTGGTTTCTCTTGTTTCTGCCCATTTAACCCTCCATCAATCTCCCCTCCAGTCTCTTGGGAACCGTGTCAGGACAGAGAAAACCAAGTGTAAGTGGTAAAAGAAGCTGTTTTTTTTCTCAGGGAGCCAAGCTTAATGTATTCTTGGCAGGAGTGTATGTCGATTCAAATGTTCCAGATCACAGGCGTAGTCCCTGTTTTGTCTGTTCTGTTGCAATAGGTCATAGTTTATTTTTGGTAGTTCTGCTTTCCTGTTCCCTATTCCTATAACAGCAATAATTTTGGCCACACTTGAGTAATTACATTATATAAGAATAAATGGCAGATACATTAAGTTGCCCTGCTTAATGGAAAACTTCCCAAAGCACAACCTTAAAACTTTGTCTGACTTGCAGCTTACACCTCTGCAAGCTGTTCCTCAGAGTTGTTCAATGTTTTTTCAACTTTTTTAACCACTTATTATAAGAGAACTATGAGCAAAATAAGACCTAAGAGTTCCTTCAACAGTTGAAATATATACAGAGAAATGTGTTCTATTAGTAAAAGCTTTAATTTTGATTTAACAGAGGACAAAAGTAGAGTCCCTATGTGCTAAAGATCATGATGTACTATTTAGTGGTTCTGGGCATCAGGAGATAAGGGAGGTTAGTTATTGTAAAGTAATACCACAATACACTGCAGGGGGCTTCACAGAACAATAGTGTGAAATATGTGCATGCTTTCCTCACCCCACAGTACTGGTCTTCATTGAAAAGCTGGGGTGGGACCGCCGAGGGGTCTCCCGCTTTACTTCTCATTTCATCACGAAGCTCCCCGCCTACAGAGATGTCGATGAGCTCATACTGGATGCTTTTACTTTCAAGGATTCTTATCACCTCGGCCTGTTGAGACTTCACCTGAAAAACAACAGTGCCTGTTAAAGACTCTGACTCAACATTAGAACCAGAAATGAAGCTGTTGCATGCCTGCTATCACATATCGTGTCCTGAAATTATCTTATTTTGTCTATTCTAGCAACTGTTGTTATTCTGACGGAAAATCACGAGGAAAAAAGGGGAACCCAACAACCATGATGGACTGTTTAAATAAACCTTGGAATATTTCTCCTCAGGGAAAAAACTCGGGTTGGAAAGAAAAACAATCTATGGGATTTTTTGGAGGTTTGCCTTTAAAAGCGGCAGTTATCTAACACTAGGGTAATGATTAATAGACCCGTAAACCCTCTGCTATCTCTCTGAGCAACTGAGGAAGTTGGGAGGGGGTGTCTGCAGAAGTGTAACCACACCTAAACACAGAACTTACAGGAACGTTAACTTACAAGCAGACATTGATAAACCACACACAGTGTTTGTAAGGCCAGCATTATACACTTAAAATGAAAAGGGAACTTCTTTTACATGTGTGCCATAATTTCAGAACAACTTCACAGTTAAAAATCTTCTCTTTAGTCATGTAAGGATCAGAGTTCAAGCAGCTGACAGAGACAATTCATAAGTTTAAAGTCAACTTTAACACATATAATGAAAAAGTATGAAACAAAAGCATTTGTATAACAGAGGTTTTGGAGTAGGTAGGATGGTATGGACACAGCCTTAAGACTTATGTTAAATACATGAAAAAATCAGCTGATGCATGCATACATACATACTGGAGGCTTATGAAGTAATTCAAATTCATCTTTGCGTATATTTTTCGTTATTTAACTAGAATAAAAAGGGAGAGAACTTCTTTCTCGTGAGAAAAATACATGCCACTACAACCACTATATGAATTCCTCACGTATAATTGTTATCTGATGTTTCATCCAGTGCTCACACCAAACAATTTTTATATCAAGCGCTGAGTATTTTGTTTCACCTTATCAGCGAATTGAGGTCTGCAGGCAGTGTTGATTTCGCTTGCTCAGGCATATTATACAAAAAAATGTTTTTTTGAAATGTGCTGCAAGCTATTAATAAAAGTGAAAGCTATGCTAAAAGACCTCATGCTGATGAGTTCCCACATACATAACAGATTAATTAATCACTGCTGTGAAATCTGACGACATATAAAGTACTAGGCAACCGTTGAGTCAACACACTCATAAATACATTACACAGAAAACACAGACAAGAGAGTCAATGTCAGCTATTGGCAGGGTTGTCAATATTACAACTAATGAACAAAACTAAACAAACAGCAAATTATGATTGTATATTACAATAGATTACTAACCAACATTTAGAACTTCACCACTGAGTGAAGCCCATGTACAGCCTACGTACTTTAGACCAAGTGTGTAGTGTCCACACTCTACCTTCTAAAGGGAAAGTGTACAGCTAAATCTCTAGATGAGTTGCTTGTTTCAGGTCTCTCAAAATTAGTTAGATTAGATATTGCCTTGCCGGGATATGCAAGGAAGACCCTGCATATCCCGGCAAGGCAATATCAAGCCACATTTTGCACGAACAGCATGGCTCTGCAGAACATGACACTGGCTTGCAGTGCTACACGCTTGTTGCCCGCTGATAACATCTGATGCATCATGAAATAAAACATGAGATGAAAAACACCCCGAACTATTGAGCAGCTGAAACCTACATCAAGCAAGAATGGGACGAAATTTCTCTGTCAAAACATGAGAAACTGGCCTTCACTCCAAAGAAAGCCATAACCCTGCCCCAAATTCTGTGAAACATGCTGCTCGCATCAAAGTTACATTTTTCAAACAAAAATACAATAGCCTATTCCAGTTTGAACATTTTGTATTTTTACTTGGCAAAATTGTTGTGCTAATATGGGGCTTAACAGTGCTGGGCGATAAAACGATAAAAATATATATCGAAAATTAATTTCCCTCGATATCAATATAAAACATGGTCAATATGGTTTTCAATAACCGGCATTCTGCCATGTTTTGGTAGACTATACAAATAGCCAGTGAAAAGGGGAGTTGCTCGGGGTCCGCTTCGCACTGACCCAATCATGTACCGAATTAGAACTAAGTAGCAAACAACTGTGTAGTAGCAGGCTGCAGCTACATGCAACCATAGCACTTTAACACATGAAGCCGACAGCACTGTTGGTGAGAAAAAAAGAAAATGAGTGCTACGCAACACCTTACGAAAAAAGTCGGAGACTCAAAGACCTCACAGATGCGGTAGCTTATTGTATTGCAAAAGACATGCTACCAATAAGCACTGTTAAATTTCATTTTTTATATCATGATATATATCGATATCAACTGATATGTAAAAAATATATCGTGATAAACTTTTTCCCATATCGCCCAGCCCTAGAGTTTAAATTGATTTGCTTTTCTTATCAGCATCTTACACATTTTGGAACCGGGTTTGTGATCCCATAATGAAATATTCAAAACTGTTAGTCATGCCCCCCAGGAAGGATGAAATTCCCTTCATGCAAGTGTTGTTTAGTGCACAAGACGTACGCGGAACAGCTCGATAACCTACACAAGATCTGTACATCTGCTTCTTTGCCATGAGCAACCCTATTATATTTCACAATATGTCCTACATTTCAATTTGAAATGAAATACATAACAATCTTCACAGAACTCATCTGAGGATGAAACAGCACAAGCCCATAACACATTAACAAGTTACAAAAATCAAAATAAAGTAATAATAATAATAACAGGGGGTGACATTTCAACAAAAAGTGCTTTAAGCCTGTTAAAGAAATAAACCTAAGAGACTTTGACATAGTCTGATACAGTTCATTCATTCCTTCATACACTGGTTTTCCTCTGACAACACCCTTGAAGGGGGTGTTATATATAACTTTATTCTTGAAACAGTTTATTGTGGGTTTGCTGTGAGCAACGCTATTGTAAGTGGCAGCGTTTGAGTTGACTCTCACAGGAAGCGGAAACATAGAGCCAATGGGCAACACTTGCCTATTCTGGCCAGGCCGAACCAAAGTCTATGGTCCGAACACTGTTCCAGATAAGTAACTCGGTGTACAATTAAAGGCTATATTTCTGCTGTCAAACAGGAACACCTTTCTTTCATTCTGTTTGACCATGTAGCTCCCATGATGGCAGAATGGTGCACCACGGCTCGTCTCTGCCAGTCCTTTATTTACTCTTACTACCATTTCGTTTAAGCATTGATTCCTATCATAGTCATTACACCGACAACCTGACAACACAGACATTATGATGAGAAAAGGCTCTGAGCAGCACAGGCCCTCTGCACCGTTAGTCAGGAGAGGAAGCTGTTACTGAGAAGCTGCTGGGTGTGTCTGATAGACTGAGTGTAGTGAACTGCAGTCATAAAAGCGCCAAAATAAAAAAAGACCAATGAAATGTTGTGTTTGATAATCTCTCGACTCTTGACTCACCGTCCGAGAGGCAGTTACAGTGGTGTAGTACAGTTTGATCCCCATTGCTGCTGCAGGTCTCTCCGCTCCCTTTGTGTATCCGCTCTCGAGTCGCTTTCTTTCGCCTACGTTAAGCTCAGGGAGTCAGTGGAACATCAGGAAGTTTGGACACTTCCCTTCCAAAATAAAAGCTTTAAAGTTTAGAAAACTAAGCTTCTCAAAATGCTTGAATAATTAAAACTTTGACTGTTACGGAAGAGGATTAGGGCCACTAGAGAAAAAAAATCCAGTATGTTTGTCTTTCTGTAATATCATTCTAAGAAAAAAAGTCAAAATTCTGAGGGTAAAGTCAGAATTCTGACTTTTTTTTCTCAGAATGATGATAATTTTAAAAATATAGTGGACCTATTTTTTTTCAGTGTCCCCCATCCTCTTCCATAACCTGTAGACTCAGACTCAGAAAAAATTACAAATCAGAAATTCTAATGTTAATTATATCCAGACCTTTACATATTCTTTTTTTTTTTTTTTTTTCAAGGGTGGTCAGGACTGGGAGGAAAAAAGATCATGAAAAGCAAACACTCCTGATTCTTTTTAACTCAATGTCACAGTAAAGCAGTAGAGTTTTATCCATAATCTGTCATCATTCCAGTATAAAACTCTGAATAAATGGAGCAATAATAATGGGTCTGACCAGTGAACTTCAGCATTTTTGTCATGATATGAGATGTGATGAGATGAGATATACTTTATCGTCCCGAGGGAAATTTGTCTTGGGCAAAGTGCACTAGATCACATCAGCGTTCAAGAACCAATACAGACAGACAATCGAGCAGACAGACCATTCAGACAGTTGGAAAGCACACGCAGGGTCACCCTAACCTGAATAAATACAAAGGAATTGTAGAGAAAGAGTAAAATAGGGGGCAAGTAAACAGACAAGATAGCCGGTATTACAAAATAGTGCATTACACCATCACATCCATCAAGAGGGCATGTCAGCGTAAGAGACTGCTTCCATGTCTCCTCACTTGTGCCCTCTAATAGGTCCTGTTTACACTTTGCGACTCAGAGCAAATATTAAGTAAGAAAGAAGTTGGCTTGGAGAAAGGAAACATCAAGCCAGAGACTTAGGGTAACTGCTTTTATCTAAGCTCTCTGTTCTTTACCTGGGTTGCAGGGGTCAGTGGCATTGAGACCCTCAGTGCCAGGCTCGTGGATCAGGTAGAGGTCAATGTAACCCAAATCCAACTAAGACATGCTATAAAGAGTTCCTTCCATGGCCCTCTAACGCAATTTTTTTTTTTTCTAATTTAATTTAATATCAGAAACAACGGCGACAGCAGGAAGTGATTTATTGTAACATAGTTAGCTTGACTCTACTCTACTATTAGACTGAAGACAACCTCTGGCTGCTCAGTTTAAAAAGACAAGGCAGAATTTGATTCACAAATTCATGTTTTTCACCTTTATAATTAGTCATTTTTTTAATATACTTCTTACATATGTTATATCTCTTAGCTTTTATCTTTCCCTCCCCTCATACCCGGGTCTTTCATCTGTAACTGTATTTAACTTTGCTCAGTTTATCCCTGTCATTTGGTATAATGTTATGTATTTGTGTGTATGTAAATTGTGTGTTTATAAGAGGGTTCATATCAGCACTCTATCACATTTCAGCTTGAAGCTTATGATACAAAACCAGTTAAGTTTTAAGGTGTTTCCAAAATAAAGATGTTGTATTCTGCATAAAGTGAACACAAAATTAGTTTTGTATGTAAAATATGTAAAACACTTTTTAGATTCAGTGTAGCTAAAACTTTCTTAGATAACTGAAATAGTTGAACAATAATGTGTGACATATATTTTGGATTCAGTTGACCAAATATTTGAAGTCTCAAAGGTGAACATTTCAGTTTAGATTACAAACAGATTTCTCAGTCACTCCTAAAACTACACCTGTTGCTTTTGCAAAGGTGAGAGAAAAGTGTGAAATAATAAAAGTGCCTAACGACAGAGAACCACAAGCATAAAAAAGCTTTTGAGGGCAGTAACAGAGGACCAGCACAAGAATAAGACAATTAAAATAACTCACTTTTGGCTGTCAGATACTTTTTAAAACATAATTCTAAGGTAGTAAGTTGCCTCAAAAAATTATTAACTGTCAGAAACACAATGTTAAAAGATTACGGTACGGTTTTATTTTTCACTTTCTGGCAAGTACCTGTTCCTGTTTTTGACATATGTTCACCTTCCTGATACACTGAACTTTTTTCTCCTGAATTGCAGGTTATCACTAAATTTGAAAAGCTCCATTTGCAGCTGTGTATAATCAGACTGCTTTGATAATGCTGTAAAGCTTATTCCAACAAAAGTGCTGACAACAATTCACAGGACTTTTTTTATTCATGGTCTGCTACCCTGTGCATGCAATCTGCAGACAAACACCTCTGGAGAACTAACCCACCAGGGAACAGGAAGCCTTTTATTCCTCCTACGAGATTAAGTGTTCCAGGCAAGCAGACATATCACCCAGCAGCATTTCACACACTCACACACTAAGCCTTTCAGTGCATTTGGCTAGACACTTAGCAGCAGAGTAGCAGTTTCCACCTTCATGATAATTATTTAGACCCTCTTACTGATTTTGATTTACTCACAGATGTGCAACAACAAGACCACAGTCATGTTACAGTGTTTTAAACCCAACAGCAGTGCTTTAAACTAAATGGTGATGCAACAAGCTGTTGTCCTGTACACAAGGTAATAATTTGTTCCAGTCCAAAATTGTTCACACCGATACTAGCACGTGCACACAAGCAAACAAGCATTATGACAAACATTATTCTGTGCAGCGCTTTTATCTTGTACGTTGTGTGCACAAGATATTGACATGTTCCCAAAAGATGTGTGTAAAATATTCTATCTTGTGATAAAATTAGGTGTTTTTGCACACACAGAACAGATGTCTTATTGGAACAGGTTACTACAGGTTGTGTGCACAAGATAATAACTGTATGTGCACCAAATAATAACTTATTCACATGAGTAGATAACTTGTTGCAGCAAAACAAGTTATTTTTTGTGCCTGATGAAGCAAAAAAGTTTCCCACAAAAATAAAAGATAAACAAAAATTAGGGGTTTATAAAACAAGCTCAGAAAACATGGCAACTAAGGGGATTTCGTATGTGGTCACCAAGTCCAAACACACATTCAAACAATAGATCACCCGAAGGGCATGAGATGAAATCAACCGGGAACTCTAATCATCTGTGACATTTCATTTATTATTGAAACGTTTCTAGAGACGGACAGATCAGCTTCTTGTTGTTGCTTGCCGTAACGCTCTGAGTATGTGGGACCCCATTAAGCTAAATGAGCAGTGAAGAAATTAAATTTGGTACTTATCACAAGGGAAGCAGGCCGGCCCCTTCTTTTGTGAGTCAGACTGGAGGAATGTGGGAGAGAGTCCAACAGCACTATAATTCAGCTGATTCAGGCCTCTAAGTGAGTAACTGAGCCGTATAGTATGGACCAGCAAAAACCAACACACTCAGTAAGACCAGGGCGGGACTGCAGAGCATATCAGCAGGGTCCATGAATCTGACACCTACAACAATATCATCTCTAAGGTTTGCACCACAAGAGGGTGAAAACCATCTCTGCTCGGAACCTTTGAAAATAAACCAGGGCTTGTGAATTTACCGTTACCAACAATTAGAACCTTTAGTAACTCTGTGAGTCAGCAGAAATTTATGTAATCTTGCTATGGCAAAATACAGACAGGATAAAAAAAAAAATGCACGTCAAGCTAATAAAATGGGAAATGGAGCATGAAACTTCTCAGATAAACCAGTACAAATTACTTGTAGCAAACTTTTTTCCTTGCTCTGCACATAGTGGCTGAGACAACACACTTGGTTTTTACATTTTGGAGGAGCTGACAGATGAAGACAAGGCTTGGAATTATTTCAATGTGATTAGACCCAGAACATTGCTAACACCAACAAAATGTAGGTGCTTCGAGCTGGAGTTGAAGCAGCGACCTTTGAATGACAGCACTTGATATGAGGAACTTCCTACAGTCCTCTGCTCTACCAACTGAGCTATCAAGGTGCTGTCTACTCACAACTGCAGAAAACATAGTGGCTCAGATGGCACACTTTGCCCACACAACTAATCCACCCACATGGTCAATGAAAAGCCCAGCCCTACCTTCAGAGCAGAGCTTCACAGTTTGTACCCAACAGTCATTGCCAGGGACCCAGAACTGATAATCAGGACTTTTAGGCTGGGTGAAGAAAAAATTGATGGTTGGAAAATAAAGTAGGAGTTATCTTTACATTTTGGAGGAGCTGACAGATGAACACAAGGCTTGGCATTATTTCAATGTGATTAGACCCAGAACATTGCTCACACCAACGAAATGAAGGTGCTTCAAGCGGGAGTTGGACCAGCGACCTTGGAATGACAGCGCTTCATATGAGGAACTTACTACAATCCTCTGCTCTACCAACTGAGCTATGAAGGTGCTTATAGACACAACCGCAGAAAACATAGTGGCTGAGACTACACACTTTGCCAACACAACAATTAAAGCTACATGGTCAATGAAAAAGGTTGAACAGTGCATACACAAATGAAATCTGGTGCTTGGAGCTGGAGTTGAACCAGCAACCCTTGGACCACAGCGTTTCAGGAACTTCTTACAGTGCTCTGCTCTACGAACTGAGCTATGAAGGTGCTTATAGACACAACCGCAGAAAACATAGTGGCTGAGACGACAAACTTTGCCAAAATAAGTATTGGAGCCACATGGTCAATGATAAAGGTTGAACAGTGCATACACCAATGAAATCTGGTGTTTGGAGCTGGAGTTGAACCAGCGACCTTTGGACCACAGCGTTTGAGGAACTTCTTACAGTCCTCTGCTTGACCAACTGAGCTATGAAGGTGCTTATAGACACAACCGCAGAAAACATAGTGGCTGAGACGACTCACTTTGCCAACACGAGAATAACAGCTACATGGTCAATAAAAAAGGTTGAACAGTGCATACACAAATGAAATCTGGTGTTTGGAGCTGGAGTTGAACCAGCGACCTTTGGACCACAGCGTTTCAGGAAATTCTTACAGTCCTCTGCTCTACCAACTGAGCTATGAAGGTGCTTTTAGACACAACCGCAGAAAACATAGTGGCTGAGACGACACACTTTGCCAACATAATTATTGGACACACATGGTAAATGAAAGAGTTTGAACAGTGCATACACCAATGTAATCTGGTGTTTGGAGCTGGAGTTGAACCAGCAACATTTGGAGCAAGGCATTTGAGGAACTTCTTACAGTCCTCTGCTCTACCAACTGAGCTTTGAACGTGCATATAGACATAACCGCAGAATACATAGTGGCTGAGACGACACACTTTGCCAACATAACTATTGGACCCACATGGTCAATTATAAAGGTTGAAGAGTGCATAGACAAATGTAATCTGGTGTTTGGAGCTGGAGTTGAACCAGCGACCTTTGGACCACAGTGCTTGAGGAACTTCATACAGTTCTCTGCTCTACCAACTGAGCTATGAAGGAGCTTATAGACACAACCGCAGAAAACATAGTGGCTGAGACGACACACTTTGCCAACACAACAATTACAGCTACTTGGTCAATGAAAGAGTTTGAACAGTGCATACACCAATGTAATCTGGTGTTTGGAGCTGGAGTTGAACCAGCGACCTTTGGACCACAGCTTTTCAGGAACTTCTTACAGTCCTCTGCTCTACCAACTGAGCTATGAAGGTGCTTATAGACACATCCGCAGAAAACATAGTGCCTGAGATGACAAACTTTTCCAACATAACTATTGGACCCACATGGTCAATGAAAAAGGTTGAATAGTGCATACACCAATGAAATCTGGAGTTTGGAGCTGGAGGTGGAGTTGAACCAGGGACCTTTGGACCACACCGTTTCAGGAACTTCTAACAGTCCTCTGCTCTACCAACTGAGCTATGAAGATGCTTATAAACACAACCGCAGAAAAAATAGTGGCTGAGACGACACACTTTGCCAACATAACTATTGGACACACATGGTCAATGATAAAGGTTGAACAGTGCATAAAACAATGAAATCTGGTGTTTGGAGCTGGAGTTGAACCTGAAACCTTTGGACCACAGGGTTTCAAGAACTTCTTACAGTCCTGGGCTCTACCAACTGAGCTATGAAGGTGCTTATAGACACAACCGCAGAAAACATAGTGGCTGTGACGACACACTTTGCCAACACAAAAATTAGAGCTACATGGTCAATGAAAAAGGTTGAACAGTGCATACACCAATGAAATACCGTGTTTGGAGCTGGAGTTGAACCAGCGACCTTTGGACCACAGCATTTCAGGAACTTCTTACAGTCCTCTGCTCTACCAACTGAGCTATGAAGGTGCTCATAGACACAACCGCAGAAAACATAGTGGCTGAGACGACACACTTTGACAACATAACTATTGGACCCACATGGTCAACGAAAAAGGTTGAACAGTGCATATACCAATGAAATCTTGTGTTTGCAGCTGGAGTTGAACGAGCGACCTTTGGACCAGACCGTTTCAAGAACTTCTTACAGTCCTATGCTATACCAACTGAGCTATGAAGGTGCTTATAGACACAAACGCAGAAAACATAGTGTCTTCGGCGACACACTTTGCCAACATAACTATTGGACCCACATGGTCGATGAAAAAGGATGAACAGTGTATACACCAATGAAATCTAGTGTTTGGAGGAGGAGTTGAACCAGCGACCTTTGGACCACAGCCTTTCAAGAACTTCTTAAAGTCATGTGCTCTACCAACTGAGCTATGAAGGTGCTTATAGATACAACCGCAGAAAACATAGTGGCTTCGGCGACACACTTTTTCAACAATACAATTGGACCCACATGGTCAATGAAAAAGGTTGAAGAGTGCATATACCAATGAAATGTGGTGCTTGGAGCTGGAGTTGAACCAGCAAACTTTAGACCACAGCGTTTCAGGAACTTCTTACAGTTCTCTGCTCTACCAACTGAGCTATGATGCTGCTTAGAGACACAAACGCAGAAAACATAGTGGCTTCGGCGACACACTTTGCCAACATAAGTATTGGACCCACATGGTCGATGAAAAAGGTTGAATAGTGCATAGACCAATGAAATCTAGTGTTTGGAGCAGGAGTTGAACCAGCGACCTTTGGACCACAGCGTTTCAGGAACTATCTTAAAGTCATGTGCTCTACCAACTGAGCTATGAAGGTGCTTATAAATACAAATGCAGAAAACATAGTGGCTTCGGCGACACACTTTGCCAACATAACTATTGGAACCACATGGTCAATAAAAAAGGTTGAACAGTGCATACATCAATGAAATCTTGTGTTTGGAGCTGGAGTTGAACCAGCGACCTTTGGACCACAGCGTTTCTTGAACTTCTTTAAGTCATGTGCTGTTCCAACTGAGCTGTGAAGGTGCTTATATATACAAACGCAGAAAACATAGTGGCTTCGGCGACACACTTTTTCAACAATACAATTGGACCCACATGGTCAATGAAAAAGGTTGAACAGTTGATACACCAATGAAATCTAGTGTTTGGAGCAGGAGTTGAACCAGCGACCTTTGGACCACAGCGTTTCTTGAACTTCTTTAAGTCATGTGCTCTTCCAACTGAGCTGTGAAGGTGCTTATATATACAAACGCAGAAAACATAGTGGCTTCGGCGACACACTTTTTCAACAATACAATTGGACCCACATGGTCAATGAAAAAGGTTGAACAGTGTATACACCAATGAAATCTAGTGTTTGGAGCAGGAGTTGAACCAGCGACCTTTGGACCACAGCGTTTCAGGAACTATCTGAAAGTCATGTGCTCTACCAACTGAGCTATGAAGGTGCTTATAAATACAAATGCAGAAAACATAGTGGCTTCGGCGACACACTTTGCCAACATAACTATTGGAACCACATGGTCAATAAAAAAGGTTGAACAGTGCATACATCAATGAAATCTTGTGTTTGGAGCTGGAGTTGAACCAGCGAACTTTGGACCACAGTGTTGCACGAACTTCTTACAGACCTCTCCTCTACCAACTGAGCTATGAAGGTGCTTATATATACAAACGCAGAAAACATAGTGGCTTCGGCGACACACTTTTTCAACAATACAATTGGACCCACATGGTCAATGAAAAAGGTTGAACAGTGTATACACCAATGAAATCTAGTGTTTGGAGCAGGAGTTGAACCAGCGACCTTTGGACCACAGTGTTTCAGGAACTTCTTAAAGTCATGTGCTCTACCAACTGAGCTATGAAGGTGCTTATAGATACAAACGCAGAAAACATAGTGGCTTCGGCGACACACTTTTTCAACAATACAATTGGACCCACATGGTCAATGAAAAAGGTTGAACAGTGTATACACCAATGAAATCTAGTGTTTGGAGCAGGAGTTGAACCAGCGACCTTTGGACCACAGTGTTTCAGGAACTTCTTAAAGTCATGTGCTCTACCAACTGAGCTATGAAGGTGCTTATAGATACAAACGCAGAAAACATAGTGGCTTCGGCGACACACTTTGCCAACATAACAATCAAGCCACCTGGTCAATGAAAAAGGTTGAACAGTGTATAGACCAATGAAATCTGGTGTTTGGAGCTGGAGTTGAACCAGCGAACTTTGGACCACAGCGTTTCAGGAACTTCTTACAGTCCTCTGCTCTAGCAACTGAGCTATGAAGGTGCTTATAGTCGCAAACGCAAAAAACATAGTGGCTTCGGCGACACACTTTGCCAACATAACTATTGGAACCACATGGTCAATAAAAAAGGTTGAACAGTGCATACATCAATGAAATCTTGTGTTTGGAGCTGGAGTTGAACCAGCGACCTTTGGACCACAGCGTTTCAGGAACTTCTTAAAGTCATGTGCTCTACAAACTGAGCTATGAAGGTGCTTATATATACAAACGCAGAAAACATAGTGGCTTCGGCAACACACTTTGTCAACAATACAATTGGACCAACATGGTCAATGAAAAAGGTTGAACAGTGCATTGACCAATGAAATCTGATTTTTGGAGCAGGAGTTGAACCAGCGACCTTTGGACCACAGCCTTTCAGGAACTTCTTAAAGTCCTGTGCTCTACCAACTGAGCTATGAAGGTGCTTATAGCTACAAACACAGAAAACATAGTGGCTTCGGCCACACACTTTGCCAACAAAACAATTGGACCCACATGGTCAATGAAAAAGGTTGAACAGTGTATAGACCAATGAAATTTGGTGTTTGGAGCTGGAGTTTAACCAGCGACCTTTGGACCACAGTGTTTCAAGAACTTCTTACAGACCTCTGCTCTACCAAATGAGCTATGAAGGTGCTTGTATATACAAACGCAGAAAACATAGTGGCTTCGGCGACACACTTTGCCAACATAACTATTGGACCCACATGGTCGATGAAAAAGGATGAACAGTGCATACACCAATGAAATCTAGTGTTTGGAGCAGGAGTTGAACCAGTGACCTTTGGACCACAGCCTTTCAGGAACTTCTTCAAGTCATGTGCTCTACCAACTGAGCTATGAAGGTGCTTATAGACACACACGCAGAAAACATAGTGGCTTCGGCCACACACTTTGCCAACATAACAATCAAGCCACCTGGTCAATGAAAAAGGTTGAACAGTGTATACACCAATGAAATCTAGTGTTTGGAGCAGGAGTTGAACCAGCGATCTTTGGACCACAGCCTTTCAGGAACTTCTTCAAGTCATGTGCTCTACCAACTGAGCTATGAAGGAGTTTACAGATACAACCGCAGAAAACATAGTGGCTTCGGCGACACACTTTGCCAACAATACAATTGGACCCACATGGTCAATGAAAAAGGTTGAACAGTGCATATACCAATTAAATCTGGTGCTTGGAGCTGGAGTTGAACCAGCAACCTTTGGACCACAGCGTTTCAGGAACTTCTTACAGTCCTCTGCTCTACCAACTGAGCTATGATGCTGCTTATAGACACAAACGCAGAAAACATAGTGGCTTCGACTACACACTTTGCCAACATAAGTATTGGACCCACATGGTCGATGAAAAAGGTTGAACAGTGGATACACCAATGAAATCTAGTGTTTGGAGCAGGAGTTGAACCAGCGACCTTTGGACCACAGGGTTTCTTGAACTTCTTTAAGTCATGTTCTCTTCCAACTGAGCTGTGAAGGTGCTTATATATACAAACGCAGAAAACATAGTGGCTTCGCGACACACTTTTACAACAATACAATTGGACCCACATGGTCAATGAAAAAGGTTGAACAGTGTATACACCAATGAAATCTAGTGTTTGGAGCAGGAGTTGAACCAGCGACCTTTGGACCACAGCCTTTCAGGAACTTCTTAAAGTCATGTGCTCTACCAACTGAGCTATGAAGGTGCTTATAGACACACACGCAGAAAACATAGTGGCTTCGGCCACACACTTTGCCAACATAACAATCAAGCCACCTGGTCAATGAAAAAGGTTGAACAGTGTATACACCAATGAAATCTAGTGTTTGGAGCAGGAGTTGAACCAGCGACCTTTGGACCACAGCCTTTCAGGAACTTCTTAAAGTCATGTGCTCTACCAACTGAGCTATGAAGGTGCTTACAGATGCAACCGCAGAAAACATAGTGGCTTCGGCAACACACTTTGTCAACAATACAATTGGACCAACATGGTCAATGAAAAAGGTTGAACAGTGCATTGACCAATGAAATCTGATTTTTGGAGCAGGAGTTGAACCAGCGACCTTTGGACCACAGCCTTTCAGGAACTTCTTAAAGTCCTGTGCTCTACCAACTGAGCTATGAAGGTGCTTATAGCTACAAACACAGAAAACATAGTGGCTTCGGCCACACACTTTGCCAACAAAACAATTGGACCCACATGGTCAATGAAAAAGGTTGAACAGTGTATAGA